ATTTCTGTCTATTCATGATCAAACCTTGTCATCAAGAGCCATAAAAAATATCTGTTAGATACTGTAAAATTGCATATTTTCGAGGGGTCATATTTTCGTGGTTTGAGAAAATTATATTGGTTCATGGGGATTTGATTTCATGTTTGAAGGATTATTCAGTAGTCATATATGTTAATTGCATTTCTTGGTGGACAAAAATTCGTGGGTCTACTCATTCCTTGAAATCCATGAACATTAAACCCCCACAAAAATTAGTGATTTCACAGTATCTGAAGATTCTAGATGTTGAGATTAAAATACTGTAAAATCACTAATTTGCGTGGAGGTTTATTTTCGTTATTTTTGAGGTACGAAGAGACCCACGAATTCATGTCCATCACAAAATGTAAAATTTTATATACAGAACTACTAAGCAGATCTTCATCCATGAAATCAAATCCCCACAAACCAATATTTTTTCGTCAAACCATGAAAATTTGACCCCACGAAATATGTGATTTTACAGTACATAAAGAAAAAGTGGTTGGGACGTTCAAGATGCAAAAAGTTACCTGGTAACTGTATATTCCGTTTTTCAGCATTCAAAACTAAAAAAAAATTTATAAGAGTAGTTTTTTATGGTATAAAATGTCCATCTTGCACAGAGTTTGTATCTGAAATAGAAGTATATGAGTCTGTAAATTAGAGCAAGTATATAAATCTATGTGATAAAATTGTCTGATCTTGTGTTTTAATGGTAGCCTGATAAAATGGCTACTGTTGTCTTTTAAATGTAACTGTTCTTAAAGTTTCTTCTTGTTTTCTACAGGTTTTAAACCAGATGGTAGACAGAATCTCCACAGTTCCCGGGATATCTAGAGTTCTGTACGACCTCACTTCTAAACCACCAGGAACAACAGAGTGGGAATAGTGCTTAGTGGACTTAGACAGAGTAGAGTGTGATTCATGAACTCCTATATAACCAATAAAAGTAGTGCTTGTCAATTGTGATAATAAATTACTGAAAATTTACTCCATATTTTTTATTGAGGATGTGCATATATATACCTGTAATATTTTTTTCAAAGGTTTTTTAGGTCACCTGAGTTAACTCAGGTGACCTATTGCTATCCATTTTCGTCCGTCATCGTGTGTTAACATTTGAACATTTTCAGCTTCTTCTCTAAAACCACTGAACTAATTTCAACCAAATTTGGTATGCAGCATCTATGGGTGGAGGGGAACAGAATTTGTGAATTTCATGGTCCCCGCCCTCCTGGGGCCTGAGGGGTGGGGCCAAAACCACTAAAATTATTGCAATCTTTAAAAATCTTCTTTACTCCTGCACATAAAGCAGGCAAACTGTTGGCATGATTATAATCAGCATTGAGTTCTCTACCAAAATTGTGAAATTCATGGCCCCTGGGTCGGGGTTCAAGTGCTAGGGCGGGGCTAAATAGAATACCGGGTATATAGTGAAAATGCATAAATTCTTTGAAAATCTTCTTCTCTGCTCCTGGGTATTAAATAAACTAACTAAGTACATAATTATGATGAGCAAGAGTGCCTCTTCCAGATTTTTGAATTTTATGGCCCCAGGGTCAGGGGTTCTGGTGTTACGGCAGGGCTCTATTGTTTATATATTAATGAAAATGCATTTATTCTTTGAAAATCTTCTTCTCTGCTCCTGGGTATTAAATAAACTAACTAAGTACATAATTATGATGAGCAAGAGGGCCTCTTCCAGATTTGTGAATTTTATGGCCCCAGGTTCAGGGGTTCTAGTGCTAGGGTGGGGCTAAATAGAATATATATTGAAAATTCATAAACTCTTTGAAAATCTTCTCTGCTCCTGGGTATTAAATAAACTAACTAAGTACATAATTATGATGAGCAAGAGTGCCTCTTCCAGATTTGTGAATTTTATGGCCCCAGGGTCAGGGGTTCTAGTGCTAGGGTGGGGCTAAATAGAATATATAGTGAAAATTCATAAATTCTTTGAAAATCTTCTTCTCTGCTCCTGGGTATTAAATAAACTAACTTAGTACATAGTTATAATGAGCAAGAGTGCCTCTTCCAGATTTGTGAATTTTATGACCCCAGGTTCAGGGGTTCTGGTGTTAGGGCAGGGCTCTATTGATTATATAGTGAAAATGCATTATTCTTTGAAAATCTTCTTCTCTGCTTCTGGGTATTAAATAAACCAATTAAGTACATAGTTATGATGAGCAAGAGTGCCTCTTCCAGATTTGTGAATTTTAAGGCCCCAGGGTCAGGGGTTCTGGTGTTAGGGTGGGGTTCTATTGGTTATACAGTAAAAATACATTAATTCTTTGAAAATATTTTCCTTTGCTCTTTGGTTTTATGCCAATGATCCAAGTATATATATTAATGATGAAGAAAAGTGCATCTAGCAAAGTGGTTTTTTATGCCCCCTGGGTCAGAAGGGGGGGGGGGGATTACATAGTATGAAAATAAATAAATTTTTTGAAATCTGCTCTTTGGTATTAATCAACCATTTCATGATAAAATTTGCAAAATTTTGAAATATGTGGCCCCTGGGTCAGGTTCCTTTGGGGTGAGGTGCACAACTGAGTGCATTTTCTCTTTGTTACTCTGATCTACCTCTGAGTCTTAAGTAAATAGAGTAAGCATGCTAAGTTAATAATTATAATAAGCAATGATGCCTCTTTCAAAATTGTGAATTGTGAATTTCATGGCCTCTGGTTTAAAACACGAACCAGATTTAATTGTTTGAAAGTTGTTACACAATACTCAGGTGACCTATAAGGCCCGTGGGCCTCTTACAAATCATGTCTGGATTCTACATTTTAAAATTTCTAATAAGCTCACAAAGTGGTTTAAGAATAGAAAATTACTTTGAAAATAACTTTTATTAGAAAATATGTATTCTTTCTCACTTTGCTCTACAAAATAACTCGTTTCACATCATGAAACCGCAACATTCATAATAATATTAGAATGAAATAATGAGCTTTCATCAGTAATGTCATATACATATATTAGACACCCATTTTAACACATTTTCTTGGAAATATTAGAGTATGATGTTGAATACCTCTGTTCTATGGTTTAAGTATCAATTAAATTTAGGAAAAGGTGTGAAATTCAAAGAAAAGAAATTATTTTAAAAAAAACTTAAATTTACTTCAAATTGTGCGCACAAACAGGAACAAAAATGAAAAAAAAAATCGATCCAAAGTTGCATCAGGTTAAGAAAAGAAATTATTTAAAAAAAAACTTAAATTTACTTCAAATTGTGTCCACAAACAGGAACAAAAATGAAAAAAAAAAATCGATCCAAAGTTGCATCAGGTTACGTGTCAACTAGGTGCAATGTTAAATATCGGTTACCCATTTGTAATGACCGATGTGCGTGTCTGAGTCTTTGACTGCTTTATTCAGTTACACATTCGGACGCTGGATTCTGTCACTTTGGTTTCGGCGTTTGAAAAAGTCGGTTGAAGGTGTTACTTTCTTTTTTAAACCCATTTTGTTAAATGTTTTGAAGTGGGCATTAATTTTCGGCTACTTAAATTTTTTCGATCATAATTTTATGATTTTGTCAAGTGCTGACAACAATGCCGTCCCCCGGTATCTTACTGGGGCTGTTGTTGATTTTCGGCTCGTCGACAGGAATCTTTGGATATGACTACTATGATGAGTATTATTATAATGATGACGAACCACGAGAGATTTCAAAGGAGCAAATCAAAGGTGAAAGAAAATTTCAAAAATTCAAAATAAATTATTGATATATTTATTTCTATCATCTTTCTTGGTCAGGGGTATAATTTTTGCTTCATGTTCACATTTTCTAGCGATACAGTCCGTCATGGATGCAGTGCTGAATCAAAATATCGAAAGAGTTGATAACAGAACGTCTAAAGAGCTTAAAGCTCTATCAAGTCGGTGTGTCAACTATGTAGATTCGTTCTCCAAATCTTGCGAAGCAATTAACTGTGAAACGTAAGTAAAGTACAAAAATTAATGGTTAACAAAATTTTGAGGGAAAATATTTATTTTTTATAATACACAAAATATAAAAGCTAATAATATGTTTTGGGAAAAAAAAATAGCTTGAAATTTCTCGATTGCAATACTAATTTCAGCGGGAATCTGTTTGATAAGATAAAAGGAGGAATAACGAAACTGACGAAAAAGGTTATAGGAAAGGCCAAAGATTTCTTGAAGAAGGGACTGAAGGCGATCTTCAGGTTTAGAGAAAGGCGGGTGTTCAAAGGAATAAGAAAAGGCATCCGAAAAATTACAAGAAAAATTCGCAGAATAGTGCGACTCCCACGGGTCAGGGTACGGGTACGCCGGGCACTCAGAAGAATAGGGAGGAGTGTGAGGAAAATCAGTGGGAAGGTCCGCAGATTAGTGCGCCGCGTGAGGGTGAGAGTTAGACTTCCACGGATCAGACGTATCGTTCGGGTCAGGGTCAGACTCGGGAGATGGCGAGGGCGAAGTATGTAGCTGTTGAAAAATTTGAATTTTAGAAATTTTAAATGATGCTTGATTTCAAATGAAGCCAAAAAATCGTAACTCTTTATGAAAAAAGTCGATATATTGTAACAATAATTTTAATTTCGTCGTGATAATTTTGATTTTATCAAGTTAATTTTCTGTTGTCATATCTTACCAATATTAATTTTTTTTTTAATAAAAGTCTTTGTCCTTCATTGTCCTTCAAACTTACTGTTTGATAATCTAATGTGATATCGGTAGTAAACACCAATCAAATCATTATTTTACAGGGTGGGGAAAGAAGAAGCGATCGACATGCAGTGAATGTTCACGAATGTCCGATTTGAGCGAGGAACTACTCGTGGAAAGAAGTACTTGATTTTATGCGATTTTTTTACTAATATAAAAATGCATTGCATTCATCGATTAGATCTTTGACATCTGCTCAGAATGATGAATATAAGTAAAACGGAAGAGATTTTTTTTTTAAAAAAGTGACAGATTCCATATTTTCTATAGATTAAAATACAACGAAAAAGGTGGAGCTGTCACCTTTGAGTGTTGCTGAAATTTCTATTTTATGTTGAATTATGTAAGTCAAACATAATGTCTAACTCTTAATTTAATATTTTGATTTGTCAATGTAAGAAAAACTGAAATCATTTCCAAGTTTTTATATTTGTATAGTGTGTCCATATTTGAAGAAAGCTGAGCAGAGAGCGACGAGTACCATGGCTTTCCTGTCCAAACTGTTGTCAGAAATGGAAGAGGGATACCCCGCTATTCAAAAAGTAAGTACATATTTTCTATAAATACGCCCCGTTTGAATGTCAATGAAAATATGTTTTTGCATTCTTATAAGCTGTAGAAATAAATGAATAAAAATGTCATTATGACATGCGCGTGCATGTTTTGTTTTGTTACTTTTGACTTTCACGCGACAGATGTACCAAAATGGGCATCTTATTTTAGAAACATTATTGGAACATTTTTCTTGCAGATCTTGCATTATGAAAACACGTCAGACGAAGCAAAAGTAACGATGACTGTAAAGGAAGGAAGAACCAGCTATGTGATACGGAATTTCAGCAGAATCAGCAACAGGCGAGCGGGGGGAATCTTAGCCCGGTACATTTTCAGGAGAGCAACGACTGGTGCTTAAAAAGCAATGTGTGAAAATAGATATCAATTAAAATAAAAATGAAAACGAATATCATTCCACGTGTTTATTATTTTTTTTATGAGGATGATAATTTATAATTTAGAGAAGAGGTGGATGATAATATATATGTACGAGAGATATATTCCGCTCTTTCACAAGAATGTATTTGGGATTGGATAGACCATTTTCTCAAAGAAATTTTTACATTTCAAAAGAATGGTCATTTGTTATTTTTTGTAGTATATATGACTAAATAATTAAAATTTGAATTCTGAAGCTAATATTTATTCAAAAGTTATAAAATATTCTTTTAAGTTGGTTTAAATGAAATGCACATATTTTGACCTATAGAAGTCCTTCGGAAAACCCTGCTCTACAAAAATGAAGTAACCTGTTTCTGACAACCTGATGTCATATCTATAGCTTCTACTTTAATGAGCATTATAATTCAGACTGAGTGCATGCTTGTAATATATACAGCATATATTTTTTAAATCGAGTTTGGTTTGAATCCGTATGGTGCCTCATGGCATGCTGAACAGTTTTACATGTATTTGTAAAATATATACGCATCAAAGAAGAATACTTACGTTAAAGACTTTACCACAAAAATATAAAGCAAAGAAAAAAAGTTCTTTTCGATACAACATGAAATGCGTCGACACTACATGTATCACCTACGAGGGCTGTTCAATAAATATCACTATGACATACAACATAGAAATGATATGACATTAAACTTGACTTTCTCTCATGATTGAATCTTTAATGAATTGAAAACCGTTTCATTGCGAGAAGCTGGAAAACAAGGGCTATTCGAGACACTGCATTAAAAATGAATGGTAGAGAATCAGTGAAGTTGAGTGAAATCAAACGCTTCTTTAAAGCTGCCGTAAAACTTGTTAAGAATCCAAAAGAAATATTTTCTGAAATATGTGAAATTAATAGCAACCAATGTCTGTTTTATAGACACATAAGCAGGTGGATTTCAATGAACATAAATTATATAATGGGAATCAAAAATGGGTACCCTCCTTGACGACACGGACTTGCAACAACCAATGTACTGTTTGCTAAAATTCAACAAATTATCACTGATAAGTTTGATAAACTTTAAAACACATAGCAAATTTGATAGGCATCATTTTGGGGGTAGTTCACATTGTTTTAAAGAAACATTTGACAGTAAAAAAAAAGATTGGTACTCAATGGTCACCCTATGTTTTGAAAAATGAGCGAAAACGACAGCGTGTAAGAATGTCTAAACAATTACCCTGGTATTTTAAAAAATCAAAAATTGTAGTTTTTCACCTTTGTCTAAAATTTAAACAGATAATGAAACTTAAGTCCATTGCTTTAAACCCTCAAAACAAATTAACAGTAAGATGCACTTGAAAAAAAAAATAAGCAAAGGTCTGAGAAGAGCAAAGAATTGCAAGAGCACAAGAACAGTTTTACGTATATGCCATTTTAGTAAATATTAGTGGTCTTGTTGTTTAAATTCTTATTTGGAGAGGCAGTTCAATATCTGGAGGAGTCTAGAAAGCAAAATTTTTGCCAAAAAATCGAAAGGTTTTTGAGAGGAAGGACCAAGAATCAGGAATCCACTATATTTAATTTCTTCGTGACAGCATCCAAACCCACACGCCCTAAAGAGTAAAGGAGTTTGGGGGATAAACAGAACATCAGTGTTTTGTCACACCAACAATATTCGCCAGATCCTGCACCCTTTGACTTGTTTCATTTTTCAAACTTGAAAAAACACCTTTCAGAAAGAAGAAACAGGTCCAGGATATCATAGGATCTGCCATATTCCAGTATACGAATGGTCATATTCAAAAATATGTTCTAAAAACAATCAGAAGTTGGATAAAAATGTTTCGGACATATGTTTTAATTAAAAGAGAATCATTAAGACTAAATAATTGAAAAGCGTTTTTTCTTTCTTTCCGAGAACCGAGGACATTATTTATTGAACAGCCCTCGTACATGTATTTTCTATGATAAGGTCACGTTTTTCCTATCATAATATAAATTAAATAGCGATTGAAATAAACTAGTTAAGAAACGTATTATTTAAACTTGGATGCATTGACCAGAAAGGAAATCGTTACAATTTTTTTGCTAAGAGGAAAATCAATCCAGGTCCTTACAAAATTAATTTTGGAAGTGATTCTTTAAGATAAAATGCACCGTTAATTTGGCACTAAAGAAACAATGTATGAAATATATGGAGATAACGAACAGTACTCAAGCTCAAAAGTCCATAAAACGATACAGAATATGAGCGGACCTCCAAAACATCAGAGGTGGGATCAGGTGCCATGGAGGAGTGAGCATCCCCTTCCGAGCGGTCACACCCGTCGTGTGCTCCTTGTCATGATTGGAAAACAACAGAAAAAATCCGTCGTCAATTCATTGTGTAAATAATGGCCCAACAATTAGTATAAAAAAAAAAACGTCAGTCATCATTTGACTCGATGATAAATTGTAATTGCTGACAAGGTCATTGTATCGACCATAGAACTTATGAAATGATGATTTAAATTAAACGAGACTGCTGATATTCTTGTTTTGAACAGCATCTTGTTTGTCAATAACTTACCTCGTTTTAGAAATTACGAGTACATGCGTAGAACATACTCTTGCGTATCAAATCAACTGAGAGATATGAACCCCGTATGGAAGTGATGAAGGTATATTACTGCAGAAGTAAGGGAAGTTGACGATAGAAAAGTTAAGTCATCACGTTTATTATAGAGCATGGTTGTTAGATTATCATCGACGTATTTTTCAAGTAAAATATCCAAATATGAAGCTTACCGGGATTTATCGTATCGACATAAGAATGGAAATAATTATTGTTAATTGATAATGCGTCATCGATATATCTTAATGTCGAGTTGAAGGCCACAGCAAGTGTTTTCTTAATCTTTCACATAAAAGATTTTGGACAAATTCTGCTTCATATGAATACAAAAATAGGTCTGCCTATAACGGGGTGCTATTGGTACCCATGGGGATTCCAATAGATTGTTGGAAGACCTGGTCTGCCAAAACCACATCTATATTGTCAATCAGAAACATAAGCATCTTTTTGATGTCAACTTTAGAGTAGGTGTGTGTGTACAATCAGAATGTTTTTAACAAAATGATTTTGCAAATGACCAATGACAAGGTAAGTAAAGTTACGAGTTCCATTTTTAGCTCACCTCAACGAAGTTGGGGGGAGCTTATGTGATACCCTCGGTGTCGACGTCGGCGTCGGCGTCCCGGGTTAAGGTTAAGTTTTGTGGAGCAGTTTTCTTTTTAAGTACTTCTATGTCCTATATTGATTAGAAATGCATGGAAGATGTTTCTAATGTGTTTCACTGTACCAGTCAAAGTTTCAGATGCTGCAATTTCAGGAAAGGAATGACCAGGTTAATGTTTTTGGTGCAGGTTAACATTTTTGGTGCACTTTTTGGTGTAGGTCTCATTTCCGAGTAACTATAAGCCCTATGTTGACCAAACTTACATGGATGGTACATCTTAGGATGCATACTACCAGACTTGCTTCGGATGCTGAATCTGACCTACATTTTCCGGTTGAGTGAACAGGTTAAAGTTTTTGGTGCAGGTTTCATTTCGCAGATACTCTGAGCCCTATAATGACCAAACTTGCATGGATTGTACATCTTAGGATGCATATTACAAGACTTGCTTCGGATGCTGAATCTGACCTACATTTTCCGGTTGAGTGAACAGGTTAAAATTTTTGGTGCAGGTTTCATTTCCAAGGTACTATGAAACCTATAATAACTAAACTTGCCTGGATGGTACATCTTAGGATGTATACTACCAGACTTGCTTCGGATGCTGAATCTGACCTACATTTTCTGGATGAGTAAACAGGTTAAAGTTTATGGTGCAGGATTCATTTCCAAGTAACTTTGAGCCCTATAATGACCAAACTTGCATTGATGGTACATCTAAGGGTGCATTCTACTAGGCTGGCTTCAGAAGCTGAATCTGACCTACATTTTCCGGATTAGTGAAAATGTTAGTTTTTTATACAGGTTTCATTTCCAAGTAACTTTGAGCTCTATGTTGAACAAACTTGCATGGATGATACATCTTAGGATGCACACTAATGGACTTGCTTCAGATGCTGAATTCGACATACATTTTCCAGATAATAGACCTCGTAAAAGTTATGGGTGCAGGTCTATCACCAAGAAACTATAAGGCTTATATAAACCAAAGTTGCACAAATGATGCATCAAGGGATGAAAACTCTCAATCTTGCTTCAGATGCTGGATTTTAATTACATTTTCATGATGAAGAACTAGTTTTAAGTTTTTATATAGGTCTATTCCAAAGTATCAAAATTGCATAAATTTTGCATTTTTGGATGTACACTTTTTGTTGGTTAATTGTGTGACTTAATTTGCCTTACTTAAAGACAACATTCGTTGAGGTGAGCTCTGTAATCTCTGATTACCTATGTTTATTGAAAAAGTAGGTGCCAATGATATCAAAAAGCCTGGACTTAGTTTATCGTGGGGAATGGTTGTGTATAAAGTTGAGAAAGTTTTTAAGGTGTTGATTTTGGTAAAATCTTGTGATTACAAATTTTTCAAAAGTTCCTTGGAATTTTTAAGTCTCCACATCTGATTTACACGACTTTTCGAATATATTGTTTCACAGTACTCTTGAATATATTTACTTTTTTACGCAACATGTAAGTGCCTTCAAGTTGTCTTATATTAGAAATTGTTTGTTCGTAAAGCAATTAAGGAGTCAGCTAAGAGACATAAAGTTCATATGCAATTGATAAGGGCATATTGCTACATGGATAAGATAGGGAAGTGATTAAAGAAAAGTTGAAGTCATCACGTTTTCATCAAGCTCTGTAGTAAGGTTACCATTAATGTATTTTTTAGTAAAATACCCGAATAGTGACAGGTGCATGTGTCGGATTCTTTGGTATCTTTAATTTTAAGTTCAAAGAGATATACATGCATCGAATCAACACAGGATTTAAATGAATATTGTTACCAGAAGCACTTGA